GAGGGGTCGCTTTGATCCAGACATTTTCATGCGGAAATTTTCATGCGATGCACATTCACAATATCAGTGACAGTAAATATAGGTGAATCACTATCTACAGAGTTCAAGGTCTCACATACAGTTAACTTGAAAGATTTTGTATTTTCAATGCTTGATTCGGAAACACCATAGAGGAGAGCATTTTGTTTTCTGCTGTACTGTTAAAGGCTGTCAATATTATTTTCTATATCGTGTAATTTCGTTGACAAACCTGTGTCGTCGGTAGCAGAATGGGCATGTTCTTCCACGATGTCCAGACGGTCCGATATGGCATCAAAATTGAGCCTCATAGTGTGTTGCGTCTGTTTAATTTCTTCTAAACTTGACTGCAACTCTTCCATAGTAATGTTCAATTTTCGCGTGTCTGATTTGACATCACGGATCTCTCTTGACAGTTCATTTTTCATTTTTCGAATTTCTTGCATTATGTCAAAGTCTATCTGATTTTTATCAACTTTTGGGGGGCCCGGATTTAGTTCCACATCACCAGACAGTAACAAACTTTTTTGAATCACTATTGCTACAGCACTTAACTGCACCAAAGTGTATAGAATTGAAAATGTTCCAATAAGCTGATAGCCCATCTCAGTGTTTAGCGACCATTTCGTCCATGGTGTATACTGTCCAACATGGCGGATATATACAACTATCTGATCCTGTCACATATTTTAGTTTGTGCCTAACAACCGTACTCATGCCATGTTCCAGTTCCTTTGTGTTTACCTTGTTCATGCTGTATATAAACATAAGCACTTTTGCGCATGTGTAGTTATCTACATCACAACACACATATTAACCAGGGACTGCATCTTGCTCCTTTGTCTTTGTCTGGTCAGCAATTAAGTTCTCAAGCAGTCATACTTGTAATCCTGTGACAATAGCTAAATCCTATCATCGCCAATTCACATTTTGTGTATGAGTTTTTTGACGACATCACCATGTCTTCAAGACAAACCAGAGGCACCAAACAGTGTACAACCTGCAGCACTAGGGCGACCATTCCACTTCAACAAGTTCCGGAGACAAGCCAACTCAACCATTATGGAGATGACAAATCTAGGTCAACAACCCAGACCAACCGTGACACTAATGCCCACCTTACAGTCAGCAAGTTGCGCAAACAACTGACTGATATGGGCTTTCTATCCCAGTAGCATGATATGGGCTTTCTATCCCAGTAGCATGGACCAGAAAGACTTTGACGCAACTGTACACAGTCAATTGTGCCACAGACAGTCATCATCCGAGAAGTGCAAGACGGACCGACACTATGACATCATCGTCGAGTTTGGACTCCAATACATAAGAGGGTAAAAATGGCACCCTACTTCTAGATGTTCTTAGACTCCCACAGCGGACCACTCACATCGCTAACGCCAAACCAAGCAGCTATTTCAGCGTCTCAATTCACAGATGACACATATCATGACAGCCATCATCGACCACGACACACATGTGCAACTGGCAGCAAGTCGAACCCCCTTCTGATCCACAGGACAACACTGTCATGATATGGAAAGAGCTCCAAGAACTCAAAGATCTCGTCTACTCCCTGGCTAGACAATAACAGCATGGGCCACACAAGCTTTAGAACCAACACAACACAACACTTCCAACACACGGTCAGCTACAATCCCTCACGGTGTACCTTGGACTCCCTACCCACATTGATACTGTATCGCCAGCACTTACAAAGGTACAGGAAGGTCTATACATTAACTTAGCCATGACACTGCCCCTGGGTTAAATTCTGAGTTTAATTGGCAGACTCTTCAAATCAAAAGATGACACCAAATTGAACTGCTCCTAATCACTTCATGAATTCCTTGACACCTTCGATATCTACAAAAGAGTAACTCCCAAGGCAACTCACAAAAAATGATGGAACTATACCTCCACCAGAGGACATGCATCCAACTAAGCAAGGGAGTATTGAGGCACCATTCGCTATTATTGCAAAAAGCTGTTTGCTGCAAGAGTAGCGGCTTTCTTCCACTCATCCTATTAACTGGGGTCACAGAGACACAAACTTCTACAATTTGTGGACCTCCAGCAAGAAAGCCAAATTTCACCAACTCTGCAGCAGCATGACTCACATGATAGACACATGCCCAAACAATGCCACTACACAACAACCTTGGCACAGGCCCCCAAGGCCCTCACACTATGACAGTCTATATCAGGACCGGTGGGTGTTACCCTAGAGACACGAAAGGCAGAAACAGGGTAATGCACAACAGTAAAGAAATTTGTAACAATTGCAATGACCGGGGATGTCAAAGAGCATACTGTAACTACGCACATGTCACGTGCAAAGATCAGGGACATGGACAATCACAGTACATGGTAAATCAGCAGAAAGGTTACAAGTCCAGGAAGGAGAAGAATGATTGACTACCACATGCATCTATCCTACCTCAAGTTGCTGCATCTTACCCACCCGTGAACCTGAACATTTTGCAACTCAGACCAGCACCTCATCCCGAGAGAGCCTTTGCAGAATATCTTATTGAAGGTTTTGTCAATGGTTGTGGCCCCAATTTACATCCTGGACCACAGTCCTCGACCGAATGTGGCAATAATCTTAGTGCATGCCAAGACCCTGAGGCCGTAATCGCACTAGTGCACAAAGAGGTGAGACAGGGCGACGTAATTGGACCCTTCGAACAGGCACCTTTTCAAACATTCAGAGTTAGCCCACTAATGGAAATACAGCAAGAAGAAACATCTTATCCTTGATTTGTCAGCTCCACACAACTCAGACAATGTGCCCAGTATCAATGACTTGATAGACAAAGATTCCTGTACTTTATCCTAGGTGACATTCATCTATTCACTGATGCAGCAGCTAGTGTGGGTGTGGGCGGTTTCTACAATGATGCTTGGTTTTCACAGTGCTTGTCAGAAGTCGAGAATCTGCCCTAGAAACCCTTGATAGTATTCTTAGAATTGTACCCAGTTGTTGCAGCCATTCAGTGGGGGAGACATTGGACAACTATCTGTGACCCCTCTGTGACAATCAGTAAACTGTGCATGTTATTAACAAGGTTCGTTCTTAATGTCCTTCCATCATGTGCACCCTCACTTGGAACGCAGCTAAATGTAATTTTCTGGTAAGAGCTCAACATGTACCTGGGAAACTAAATAACATTGCTGATTCACTCTCCCGTTTACAGATGACACGGTTCCAAGCCTTGGCCCCATCAGCAGAAGCTTTACCAACCCAGTGCCCAGTCAGTTCAGAAGTAATGCAGCCCTGAATGTCCACCTACACAAGTTAGGGAGCACCGCCAACAGTCCCTGGACACACAAGACATATGCCACAGGATTTCAATGCTGCCTGAATTTTCCTGAAAAACATCTTCAATACCGTCACATACAGTCAACAAATGCCTCCGGTCAAGTGTTAGATGTTATAGCTAGACTGGTGTCCTTCCAGATATATAGTGACATATACTATAGGAATGTCTTTGCCTGTTAACATTGTTTATTTCCATGCTAATGGCAAAATACAAGGTGGTAGGCCTTTACCTGGACCAGGTACTCAGGGCATCTACTCTCAGTAACTAGTCACACCTTTACTACTCTCATCAGTACTGCTAGTATTTGTGTATTCAGGCCACTTACATATCACAACAGAACCTTTCAATGGGGCTCTCGGTTGCACTTCATTTTTTTTTTCCCCAATTCATGAAGTCCCGGGTTATACACAACCCCAGGGCAGCATCGTCAGGGTCATACGATCCTAGAGTATTACCTTCATCTACATCCAGGTCTGTGACCCCAGGATATTGCAGATACCTCTTCCGGATCATGGACTACCCCAGGACACAAATCTTTGGTCCGGCTGCATTTGTAAACAGATGAACAGAAAATCACTGTCATCAACAGTTTATCCTGAAACACTGAAATGCCATAACCAGTGAGAAATGTTAACCACATTTTTAAGTCTCCATTGAGCTGGTTGGTAATATTAATGTGGTGAAATGGTTGATTAACTTTACTAAGCAGTTCAGTTAGCTTACAGCTGAATACCCTTGCCATTGGTATAGCCCTGCGCACAAAGTTAAGCTTGCCTATGAGGAACTGAAGGGCCCTTTTTGAGACCTTTATGTTACCTTCCCACAGGATGTCCTGGATTTCCGCTTTCACCTCCCTGATCTTGGACTCTGGGATTCTGATCTGCATTGCACTGGTGTCAATCTCCAACTCTAAGAATGTCAGTTGTGTAGTGGGTCTTGTCGTGGGCAATGGGGACCCCAAACTGTTCCAGTGTATGTATGCATCCCTTGAGGTTGTCTAAGCAGTGGCTGATGCCCACTGTGCCCCCTTTAGGAAGTCCTCCAGGTAATGCATGATCTGACACATTGGTAGATGGGATTGCATGCACCATTGCAAAAGGTACAAAATGTTTCAAATATGGTGCAAGATATGGAGCAGCCAAATGGTAAGCATTTATTGAAATAGAACTCACCTTCAAATCTTATACCTATTTGCTCGAAATGGGATAGATGGACTTGTATAAAGTCATTCATAGATTTGCCTTTGGAATAGGATAAGTGGTGAATGAGAAGGAAATCATTAGGTCAACTTCCTTTTGTAGCTTTTGTTTGACATAGCCTGCCGTGTCTTAGTGTGTGGCTGATCGCAAGTTTCATGCAAGGCAGCCTGTGCAGATACCCTGGAATTAAAACTAAACACAACTTATTTGCATCTCTATAATTAACCTTATAAACCTCTAGTGACGTCACTCTATTGTCTCGCCAGGGTCTTCTTTTACCGACTAAACCTCTACTGGTAGTTTACCGGGCATTCCCAGGGTAAGCCCCGGGCATTCCTAGGGTAAGCCCCGGGCTTTCTGCAAGAAATCCCGGGAGATTTTCTACTGAAAGCCTGGTTTTTGTCCCGAAAAATACCCTCTGTATTGAATTACCTTTCTGCATGAAAAAAAACAACAGAACATGGCTCAACTATTTATTGATATTAGATGAAATTGAAATTGAGCGTCACAGTTCGATTTAGTTTGTCTTCAGGTCATTGGTCATCTGCTCTTTTCGGATCAGCTTCTTCACGTGATGGCGAGTTCATTTTTTTCAACATACTAAGTATGTCAGAGACCGTTGCCTTTTGGTTGTCAGAAGTTCTCTTGTAATTTCGAACGGCGTCGCTCCGATGTCCTGAAACAAATTGTTCAGATTACTGAAAGTATTACACATACAGCATACAAATACACTTTAAAACTATTACAGATTCCAAAAACACCAATATTACCATATATATCCTAAATAAAAAAGAGCATCTTACTGGTTTGGAAAAAATATTTCTTTGATATGTTATGACTTTTGCTGAATAACAATTTCTTATTACTGCAGGACTAAAATGTTAATCAACCTACCGGTAATTTCGCAAATCATTTGTTCATCGACGTCACCTTGATACAATCGAGTGGCAGCCGTGGCTCTCAAGGAATGGTTTATCTTCATGCCCTCAATACCGGACGTCTTGCACAGTCTTTTGACGGTAACTTGTAAGGTTATTTCACGCTCGGAGAGTGGATCTCCTAAACGGAATTTAAAGTCATCACTTTTCTTGTCTTCTTCAGCACAGGATGCCGATTCTTTAAAAACTGACTGCGTCAGAAATATAGGTTGTTGTCCGCGTCCATCCTCTTCAGTGGAATTCATTCGACTTGCTTGAACCACGTGCGCTCATTGTTACAACGGGCCTGAAGCACGTGCATCACGTGCAGCGCGCGGATGTACTCCCCGCGTATTGCAGTTAAACTCTCAACAGTAAATATCAATGAAGTCATGTTAATACCAATTAGTAAAATTATTTCTAATTCATATTATTTGATCAGTTCATAAGTGAGATCAAAAACTTGCCCTCGGTTTTGTTTGGGAAGTATGCCCTTGGCCTCGGGAAAGGGGGTCGGGCCTATCGGCCCTGCCCCCTTTCACTCCTCCGCGGGCATACTTCCCAAACAAAACCTCGGGCGCAGTTTTGATCCTACACTTAGCATATTGGTGTAACCAGGGTGCTATTTCATTGAGATCCACAGGGGTATGAGCCATTGAATTTATCTTTCCTGACAACTGGGTTTTTGTCCAGGAAAGATTGGTTAGGCTTGTATGGGGTCTGCTGGACCCCATTCCTTGAAAGCAGGTACTAGTGCCATGAGAATTTCTTTCACACTTACCACATTTGTGAGGGTACTTGCAGTTGTGCCTGCAAATTAAGTCCCAGCATACCCTACTTTGCGATGTCGTTGCACCCTGTCTGCCTCACTCCAGTTGTCATACCGGCCGTGTGACCATGTACTTCTGCCACAGCTCCCCGTCAATGTCGTCCCAGCGGCATGAGTATTCCCTTAACATTCTGTGTCCAAATCTGAGCGCCGCCGTCCTAATGGTTTCCATGTAGGATAGCCACCCCTGCATTGTGAGGACTTCATGTATATACATTAAAATGTGGAAAGCTGAGGTCCAGCTTGCCAGGGACAGGCATTTGGGTTGCTGGGTTTAAAAATTATCTTACCTGAAGAATCGTATGCCATCCCCGTGGCTCTCTCTGGTGCTTGGTAGTAGGGTGCCTAGATTGACAACCTTGCCACGTCAATTTTTTTCCCTCACTGGTTGTTTGACATGTGCGTCTATTCCATCCACACAGGAGGATAGGGAATCCCTGTAAGTTGTGCTCTTATTGGCTGCCCAAGCCGCCTCACTGGTGTTGTTTGGAGGAAGTGTGGACATGCCACCTTCATTGTTCCTGTTATTCAAAAACTTGACTTCGGCTGTGGCGTCCTGCACTATACATACTCTGTGGGTTTATCTCTCGGTTGTGCTTGGCATCGGCATCGGCACGCACGCACACAAGCACACACTCACAAATTAATCTTGGACGCAACGTTAAACGCCATTTCACCTCACCTCAACTTTTCTTCGGAGTCATCACAGTTGATGAAGGCGGTAATCAACAAGTGGTACATGTCCCTTGGGTGAACTTCGGGAGTGGAGTGAAATAGATCCAATTTGAAGAGTGATGAAATTGATAGTATTCGAAGCGTAAATTGAGGGCACGGTGCAGGGTGCTGACCCAGGGGTCGATTGAGTTAAAACAGTAATTAGCCTGTGGTTTGGATATGAGTTATATAGCCATTTAGTAGTTAGTACTAAATTCAATGACTTCCTGCTACAAAGTAGGGGTTGTAGGTTTGGGCTCCTTCCCTCTGTCTTTCAACATTTTGTGCAGTACCACCAATGCAGACAAGTTTTTTTGTGGGAAAAAAATGTAAATGACATTTTGAATACACCATTAGGAATATGTTATCATGTTTGAATACTGCCATCAAGAGTAATTATATGGCTTGTTTTAATGTTTTTGCATTTGGTCAAATAGGGATCAAGAGTATTATGGTTCTGTTCGGGTGAACAAAACCTTCCAAATGGCGTGCTGGTTTTCTTGGGGGATTTTGTCTGCAAAGAGCCGGAGTCACAGGAGACTAATCACAATTTTATGTACAAGAACAATTAACAATGAACAATATCTTAACTATAGCAGAGGGTGCCACAGAGAGTCGGTACAACCCTCTGGGCTGTTGGAGAGAGATCTGCTTGGTTAGAGCGACAAACCCCTTCTGCCTAACATTTTGCTTCTGTATGTATTTAACAAAACTTAGAACAATAAAAAGGAATATGATTGGTTGATACACGATGGGGTGTGCCTTATGGTTAATGAATGGCTAGACAGAGGGGAACAATCAATCATATTAATCCTGGACTGGCACTAATCTTGTTGACATATTTACTGGGTGCTTGGAAGAGATTATGGTGTCACTATAGACGAGCTTGTATGGGGGCTAATCCGTAATGAGTCTAAATTGAAGTAATTACTTACTTACTTATATTGGAGATTTAACGTGCGCTTTCCGACTGCAAGCATATGTCGCACACGGGCCAGGCCAGGCCATTTATTGTGTTTCCGAAAAGGGGAAAAGTGAGTTTGTGCAACCCAGGAGGGGGGCTTTAGGGGTTGCTTATATAGTAATTTTGAAATTTTGAGAATTTGAAATGAATGCCAAGAGCAGGTGGAGGACAAACTAAGGGAGCTGTGTGTGTTGGGTGGTTGTTTGATCAGGTAGTTTTGTTTTTAATATTTTATTTGGGGTTTAAATGCAACTAATTAGTCCTGTTTTCATTAGGTATATGCCTAAGGCTTTGAATTTTTCTAATTTGTTTTGTGGATTTAGGATTGATTCTAGTGTAAGTGCGGTTTTAAGATTTAGGGAGGTCTGTAGTGTTGTTCGGTGTATTTGGTAGTGTGTGCAGTGAATGAGTACGTGTTCTGGTGATTCTTGTTGTTTGCAATGTGGGCAGTTTCCTGTTGTGTGTAGATTAGCTATTTTAAGGTGATTATTTAGTTTGGTGTGGCCTGTTTGTAGTTTAGTAATTATTCTGTCGATTTTTTGGGATGGGTGTAGTATTTTTGGTTTAGTTAGGTGTTTTTTTTGTACTTTCCTGATTTGGCTATTTGAGTTTTGGTATATATTTTGCCATTTTTTGTTGATTTTTTGTTTAGTGACACTTTTGATTTCTGATTTTGAGCTGGGTAAGTTTAAGCTTATTTCTGGGAGTTTAAGGGATAATTTTGCTGCTTTATCTGCGTTTTCATTTCCAAAGATTCCTACGTGGTCGGGGATCCAAATGAACTCTATTTGTTTACCTGCCTTTGTTAAGTTGTTTGAGCTTTTGAGTATTTGATTTATTAGTTTGGGGCGGTGTTTAGTGTTTTTGTTTTTGAGGGCTTGTAGACCACTGAGGGAGTCGGTTAGGATGAGGATTTTCTGGTGTTTTCTAGATTGCTGATTGTGTAGTGCTGAGGCCATGCCCAGGAGTTCGGCCGTGAATATGGATTGGTTGTTTGGGAGTCGTAAGATTGGGTGTTTTTGGTTGGTTGTGCGATGTGGACTCCGAAACCTGTGTTTTGAGATCGGATCTGAGGATCCGTCTGTGTATATGTGACACCAATTTTTGTGTATGTATGCTAGTGTGGTGGTTTTAGCGATGTTAGGATCGGTCTGTTTTTTAGTGTATCGGCTAGTGTATTTTGGTATTTTAAGTTTTGGAGTGAAGATATTGGATGATTTATTGTTTTGTTTAAGATTATTTATTTTGTGTTCATTTAGGTAATTGGTTATTATCCCCCGCCACGAAGTGGAAGGGGGATATAGGAATGGGTGCCGTCCGTCCGTCCATCACATTTCGTTTCCGGAGCAGATCTTGAAAACCGTACCATATTTCTTCACCAAACTTGGCACATAGATAGATCTAGTGGTGAACTGGTGCCTTTTGATAGTTTAGGATTTTTATAAAAGTTATTTTTCGAGTTTTCATGGAAACAACTTTGATTTAGACTGAAAATGGCGGTAGTCCTCGTTTCCGGAGCAGATCTTGAAAACCGTACCATATTTCTTCACCAAACTTGACACATAGATAGATCTAGTGGTGAACTGGTGCCTTTTGATAGTTTGGGATTTTGAAAAAAATTATTTTTTGAGTTTACATGGCAATGACTTTGATTTAGACTGAAAATGGCGGTAGCCCTCGTTTCCGGAACAGATCTTGAAAACTGTACCATATTTCTTCACCAAACTTGGCATATAGATAGGTCTAGTGGTGAACTGGTGCCTTTTGATAGTTTGGGATTTTTTTAAAAGTTTTTTTTCGAGTTTCCATGGCAACAACTTTGATTTAGACTGAAAATGGCGGTAGTCCTCGTTTCCGGAGCAGATCTTGAAAACCAGACCATATTTCTTCACCATACTTGGCACATAGATAGGTCTAGTGGTGAACTGGTGCCTTTGGATAGTTTGGGATTTTTTTTTAAAGTTATTTTTCGAGTTTCCGTGGCAACAACTTTGATTTAGACTGAAAACGGCGGTAGTCCTCGTTTCCGGAGCAGATCTTGAAAAATGTACTATATTTCTTTCCAAAAAGGCCCAGTGAACATAGTTCACAGGAGCTAATGCATTGCACACACCCGACATGTCATATTGGCGGGGGATGTGAGTATTTCATGCTTGTTCTTTGGGAAATTTGAGTAAGTAGTGGATTTTCCCGGGCTAGGGCTTGGTTTCTAGGGCTAATATTGTTATCCCCCGCTGGGCCAGAAATGGCCGAAGAGGGATTATGTTGTGGCGCAGTCCGTCCGTCCGTCCGCCCCACAGAGGGTACTAAGCTTGTGAAATCAACTTCTCCTACAGTTTCCAGAGAATATCCCTGTCACTCTACACACAAGATGTCGACATGTTGATGATACGCATATCGCAGTCCCGTTTCGTTTCGACTAATTTTGACAGAGTTACTGCCCCTGTTATACGGAGCTTCATTTGCCTTGTTGTGAGAGAGGGTACTAAGCTTGTGAAATCAACTCCTCCTACAGTTTCAAGAGAATATCCCTGACACTCTACACACAAGATGTCGACATGTTGATGATATGCATATCGCAGTCCCGTTTCGTTTCGACTAATTTTGACAGTTACTGCCCCTGTTTTACGGAGCTTCATTTGCCTTATTGTAAGAGAGGGTACTAAGCTTGTGAAATCAACTCCTCCTACAGTTTCCAGAGAATATCCCTGACACTCTACACACAAGATGTCGACATGTTGATTATAAGCATATCTCAGTCCTGTTTCGTTTCGACTAATTTTGACAGAGTTACTGCCCCTGTTTTACGGAGCTTCATTTGACTTGTTAAAAAAATTCTTGTGGGGGATGTTGTGCGCTCAGAGCACTCTTGTTTTTATTAAGTTTTCGATTGGAGAGTTTGATTGGGACGCGGCCCAGAAGTTTAGGGTAAGTTGTTCCCTACGTAGTTTAAGTCGCATTTCTCCTGTTAAGGCCTGGAGTGAGGTGGAGGAGGTGCCATGTTGAGTTCGTGTGATTAGTTTTAGGGCCTGATACTGGATTGAGTCTAGTTTTTTAATGAGAGAGTTGTTCAGGTTGTCGTAAATGGCACTGCCATAGTCTAGTTTGGATCTAATGAGTGATATATAGAGTTAGAGGAGGTTGTTTTTAGAGGCCCCCCAGTTGGAGCCGGTTAGGCATCTTAACGTGTTTAGGTCTTTGCTGCACCTGGTAACTAGGTTTTTAATGTGAGCATCCCAGGTGAGATGTTCATCGAAGATTAATCCTAAGAATTTGGTTTGTTTTTTTAAATTTGATTGGTTTGTTGTTTTGTTTGAGGTTTGGGGAGGCGGGTTGCATATTTTTGTGTTTAAAAACTATTCCTGTGTTTTTTTCTGAGTTTTCTGGGGAGAAGCCCCATTTGTCAGCCCATTTTTGTATTTCATTTAGAGATTTTTATCCCCCCGGCATATAATGCGGGGGGATATAGTGATCAGCCAGTCTGTCTGTCCGTCTGTCTGTCCGTCCGTCCATCCGTCCGTAATCATTTCCTTTTCCGGGGCCAGAATTCGAAAACCATTCAGTGTATTTGATCGAAACTTGGCCAAGCTACCAGGCACATACTGAAGTGGTGCCTTTTGATATTTTTGGATTTTTCTAATTTTTATTTTGAACCAAGTCCTTTTGGTGTTTCCAGACTGACCAGAGTAACTTGCAGGTATTTTCAAAGTTTGAAAAGAATTGTATCTCATTTAGTTATTGTTTCTTGTAATTTGTCATTTGTTTACATAAAAAAAACAACCACAGAAACACACTTGTTTTACTTTCCATTTCATATGGATGCGACCATGGTGGATCTTTTGTGGGTAAACAATGTATGCTTCTTAAAGAACAGTCAACTGTTGACTCATTACATACAGAATTGCACATTTACTAGTGGTTACTTTACAGACAGCTGCCGGGGGGATATGTCATCTTTCTGATGACTCTTGTTGTAGTAAGTTTTGGGCCATTTTAATGCTTTTAGTGCGGATCCAGAGGGCTCCATCATCCGCGAATTTTGATGT